TACTTAATTGCACTGCTTATTTGCTATAAAAAATTCGAACTCTCACATTAATCTATGTTAAATGAACCTAAGTGACTGATTTAGTTCAATATTTGGCATGTAAATTATCAATTCGATAACCCACGAAAATACAAAAAATAATAATAACCTATGTAGATTATTATTTAATATTCATTTATAAATTCTGATTATGATATTACAGAAGACGTATTTTTTTTTTACAGTGGAATCAACGCAAATGGATGGAATATACGAGATTCCATTCATCTGGTCGGATTACGGCTGGGCAATGGACCACGATGGTAATTTTTAATCTATTCTAAGGAATATTCCGTACAAAAATTTGATCACAGGTTTTTTTTTAATTCCATTTTTAACCGTTTGTCGGTATAAAAAATAAAAAGATTTTAAAATCAGTTAAATTTGCCTACTTCAAACATTATTTGTGCAATCATTAGTAATTCCCACTTCTCTGAGTTTCGATTATGTGAACCATTATAGTACCAATTTACTATTTAACCAGTAACGAAAATATTTTTCAGATTCCCTTCGTCATAATATCGTCGTCTATCGCCACGAGTTCGATCCTATGTCAAAGCAAAACATCTGCCGACCATCTTCGAGTGCGTGGGCTAGTCCGTTGTTACTCGTGCCAAAAAAGGACGGGTCTTTTCGACCGTGTGGCGAATATCGCCGACTCAACGGCCTCACGGTTCCGGATCGCTACCCGCTGCCGTTCCTGCACGATTTCACGGCCCGTCTCGCGGGGAAAAATGTTTTCTCGAAGCTCGATCTATATCCGCGCATACCATCAAGTTTCGATCGCGCCCGACGACGTTCACGAGACGGCCGTTACCACGCCGTTCGGTCTTTACGAGTTCCCAGTCATGTGTTTCGGCCTCCGTAACGCCGCGCAGTCTTTCCAGCGGCCCATCAACTCGGTTTTGGGCGACCTCAGTTTCGTTTTCGCCTACGTCGACGACGTCCTCATCGCGTCAGTTTCCGGAGACGAGCGCCGTGCTCACGTCCGCGAAGTGTTCGCGCGTTTCGAAAAGTTCGGGATCGCCGTTAATCCGGCGAAATGTGCGTTTGCCGCTCGCGATTTAATGTTTTTGGGTCGTACCATCGACTCACGCGTTTTACGCCCGAATCGGCAATCCGTCGCCGACGTCCGTGGTTGGCCACGTCCTGAGACCAAAAAAGAGCCCCGGCGCTTACTAGGATCGCTCAATTTTTACCACCGGTTTATTCCACACGCCGCCGTTCCGCAAGCCCCGCTGTTCGCTCTCATCTCGCGGGTTGCGAAAAAAGACGGTCCGCTCGCGTGGACGGACGAAGCTCGTAGTGCGTTTCGTGCTTGCCTATACGAGATTCCATTCATCTGGTCGGAATACGGCTGGGCCATGGACCACGATGGTAATTTTTAATCTATTCTAAGGAATATTCCGTACAAAAATTTGATCACAGATTATATTTTCATTTCATTTATAACCGTTTGTCAGTATAAAAGATAAAATAATTTTAAAATCAGTTAAATTTCCCTACATCAAACATTATTTGTGCAATGCTTAGTAATTCCTACTTCTGAACTTAATTGAAAACATTGTTACAACAATTTCATAAATGTTAGTGTAATAATAAATGTCGATCATTAAATTACAGATGGTCTCGCTTATTCCAGTTCCTACGCCATTAACGATATGCCGTTTCAGCTTTTTCTGATTATTCCCGTAGACGGTGTAACAGATCCATATATGATTGTGGATATTACTCAAGAAGTCATTATAAATGGTAATTCTTAATCTATGTAAAATAGATATTCTTCATAATATTTTGAACAAAAATTTGATCTNGATATTTTCTTTATTACTTTTGTTACAGGATAATATTTTGTTGCGTTTTGTCCACCATCACTCACCACTCACCCGTTTCCAATAATCGTATCGACCAACGGCACCCTTTCACCAGTGTGGAGCTATCTGTTTTCATTACTTATTTTACTTATTGTATCACAGATTGTAATTTTTAATCTATTCTAAGGAATATTCCGTACAAAAATTTGATCACAAATTATATTTTCATTTCATTTATAACTGTTTGTCAGTATAAAAGATAAAATAATATTAATATCAGTTTAATTCTTCTACTTCAAACATTATTTGTGTAATGCTTAGTAATTCCCACTTCCCTGAGTTTCGATTATGTGAATTATATTACCAAATTACTATTTAACCAGTAACGGAATTATTTTAAGGTTTCCGACATATGTTTAACGGATTTTTATTAGTATAAGGGTTTAGGTCAGGTGTTAAGTGTAATATAAATTGTCGAAATATGATTAGAGATGATCATAATACAACCGATTTACATAATTGAACTTTTCATTTGCTATAAGGAATTCGAATTCTGTCATTGATTTATGTCAAACGAACGTTTGTGACCGATTTAGTTTAATATTTGGCGTTCAAATTCGTGACCAATTCGTTAATTCACAAAAATAAAGAAAATAATTATAATCTACATAAAAATACATCAAAATTCATGAATTGTAACTGATAATAACGGGTGATTCATTAAGAGGTACTTTTTTTAAATGCGATTTTATGGCAGATAATGAATGAGTCTTATCAAACTGTCATGTTATTTTCGTTTAATGTTGTTTGACATTTTATCATGGAAAGACTTAGCCCGGCACAGCGTCTACATATTATTCAACTTTATTACGAAAATCAACATTCTACGAGGACTGTTTTTCGTAAGCTTAGAGAAACCAATGGTCCGCATGATCGGCCTACCGAACACAATTTACTGTACAATTGTAAAATATGAAACCAGATTTTCATAATTGGATAACACATGACCAAATAGGCTACATCCAGCACGTAATGAATAAAATATAGCGGCGGTAGCTGGAAGTGTACGCGATGACCGTGATGAATCGATTCAGCGCCGTTTTCAACAGCTTAGCTTGTCGTATGCAACGACTTAGCGTATTTTACGTAAGGACAATGGTATAAAAGTATACAAAATTCAACTCGTCCAAGAATTGAAGCCACCCGACCTTCCGAATCATCACTGTTTCAATGAATGGGTTCTTGAAATTATTGAAGAAATTCCACTGTTTTCGACCAACATTTTGTTCAGCGATGAGGCTCATTTTTGGCTTAATGGTTACGTCAATAAGCAAAATTACCATATTTGGGCCGAAGAACCACTCGAAAAAATGCAAGAGCTTCATTACCATTACATCCAGACAAAACAACCGTTTGATGTGGTTTCTGGGCTAATGGAATCATCGGTCACAATTTCTTTAAAACTGAGACCGGGCAGAACGTAACTGTGAATGGCGCTCGCTACCGCGACATGAAAACAGACTATTTGTTGCCTAAAATTGAAGCCCGTGATCAATGATATTTTGTTTCAACTAGATGACGCTACATGTCATACAGTTCATGAAACCCTGGCTTTATTGCGAGAACAATTCGGTGAATAATTTATTTCACGATTCGGACCGATTAGTTGGCCAGCTAGATTATGCGATATCACACTTCTCAACTTTTTTCTTTGGAACTACGTGGAGTCCAAAGTCTACATAAACAAGCCGACTACGATAGATGAATCGGAAGCCAACATCAAACACGTCATTGGCCAAATACCAGTCGAAATGCTTGGACGAGTCATTGAAAATTGGAACTTCCGAATGGATCATGTGAGACACAATTACGGCCAACATTTAAAAGATAAAATATTTAAAAAATAAATGTAAATAATAGTTTTTTTATAATAATACATTTTGAAATAGAAATTTTTTATTGTTTTTTAATTCTTGAAAAAAATACCTCTAAATGAATCACTCTTTATATTTTGACTATGATAATACAAAAAAACCTATTATTTTAGGTACTACATTCACGGTTAAATCAACGCAAACGTCATATTATACCCCTGAAATTGATGGAGTGGTGTTTCCATTCGTCACGATGTGAACTTCGTAGCCTACGGCAATAAATGATAATTTATAATCTATTCTATGGAATATTCCTTTCAAAAATTTGATCACAGAAGATATTTTCATTTCATTTATAACTGTTTGTCAGTATAAAAGATAACAGAATGTTAATATCAGTTAAATTTCCCTACATCAAACATTATTTGTGCAATGCTTAGTAATTCCCACTTCCCTGAGTTTCGATTATGTGAAGTATAGTACCAATTTACAATTTAACCAGTAACGGAAATATTTTTTGATTTCCAACAAATGTTAAACGGATTCTTACTAGTATAAGTGTTTAGATCAAGTGTTTATTGTAATATAAAATGTAGAAATATGTTAAGAGGTGATCGTAGTATAACTGATTTACTTAACTGCACTGCTCATTTGCTATANTTTGGCATGTAAATTATCAATTCGATAACCCACGAAAATACAAAAAATAATAATAACCTATGTAGATTATTATTTAATATTCATTTATAAATTCTGATTATGATATTACAGAAGACGTATTTTTTTTTTTTACAGTGGAATCAACGCAAATGGATGGAATATACGAGATTCCATTCATCTGGTCGGATTACGGCTGGGCAATGGACCACGATGGTAATTTTTAATCTATTCTAAGGAATATTCCGTACAAAAATTTGATCACAGGTTTTTTTTTAATTCCATTTATAACCGTTTATCGGTATAAAAGATAAAAGAATTTTAAAACCAGTTAAATTTGCCTACTTCAAACATTATTTGTGCAATGCTTAGTAATTCTCACTTCCCTGAGTTTCGATTATGTGAACCATTATAGTACCAATTTACTATTTAACCAGTAACGAAAATATTTTTTAGATTCCCTTCATCATCATATTTTTAACGGATTCTTACTAAAAAAAAGATGTTTAGGTTAATAAAAAGGAAAAAATGTAAAATATCGAAAAAAGAAAAGAAATTATCACAGTATCACTGATTTACTCAACTATCTTTTCATTTACTATAAGATATACAAATTATTATTACCTAATATTAAATTGTTACTATTTGCTGAATGATCGTGATTCAATTTATGACATTATTTTTGTAAACATTTTTTTTCTATTTTCTTCTGTTTATTTATTTTATATTATTGTATTCTTTTATGTGAACTTTGTTGTATTTTATGTTAAAAATTATTATTGATTAAAATGGAACTTTTCTATGTGTCTAATTTCGTTTATCTTCTTGGTTAGTTTTTAGTTTCTGAGTGGAAGGAAGAACTTTTCAATTTTACAACGATGTTTTTTTTTTTTTTTTAGTGGACAACTTTTCTTCTAAAAGTCTTCACTGGTTATTAAGTTTAGCACCTTTCTTAATAGGAAATCAGACTGGGGAGGTTAGTCTTAACTATAAAAACTGATAAGCAAAACGAAAAATTCAGTTTTTATATTTAATGAGTATGTTTTCGCTTGTCTCAGAATGTAAAATATACACTAACATTAAAAAAAGATATGTTTAGACTTCACATTTTTTTCCTCATTTATAAATTATTACAATTAATGTATAATTAATAATTTTATATAATAGTAATGTACTTATATTAAAATATATCTACAATAAAATATAGTATTCTTGGCCGCCAAGAAATATTATTATTTTATGGCCCTTTGAGAAAAATTATTGGTCACCTCTGGATAGAAATATTAAAATAAAAATTATTTTGCACATTTGTATCCCCTTTACCCAAGCAGTGGTGGATTCATGACGGGCAGCCTACCCCCGCTTACTTACCAATATTCTCACCAATATATTCTTAGCTCGATTTATCATTGATCTCGACATAAACGTGTGCCTTATATTATGCATTTTCAAAATAGCCTCTTCTTCTCCGTTATCTTGTCCTGAGTCCGCCCCTGAAATTAAAACCTGTTTGAATAATAAAATATTTAAATAAAACTGTCAGTTATTTACGAATGTACCTGTATTTAAATATAGATGACTTTTTTTGGTAAACACTTCTTCGAGTGTATCGTTTACTCATACATACGTCAATAACAAGCCAACACGAACAATATAATGTAGGTATTATTCTCGTGTTCATTTATTAAAAATATAAATTTTATATTGAATAAATAGGATTTTTTTTTTTTTCATATATTTTATGTTTAAAATTGTTCATCACTGCGGCGGATAGGCCAACCACTGTACTTTTATTGACAAAAATGGGCCTATAAAAAATACTATATCTTAATACAAATATTCAAAGTTAATAAAAAAAAAAAAAAATACCATAATGCCTAAATCCATATTTAAATCCAGTGTAAATCAAAATAAATTATTATCCAATGACTATATAAGCATTGAGGGAGTCCTCCTCATTCGGAAGCAGTATAGCCGGCCGACTGCGTTATCGACTGACCATCATCATTATAGTGTTTATATCGGAGTTGGAATATTATTTCGGTGTTTTCACTGAGAGCTGCTATCATCGACTAATATAAATAGAAGCACCTAAACGTTTGTCGTGCTCGGTTATCGAACACAGACGGGACCGCGGTCATATCATTTGTCCGGTAAACGGGAGATTTTCGTTTTTAGACACCTATACACGAGTAGAAACCTGATCGGTACGCGCGGGTTTATAGGTAAATAGGCGTTTTTCTCTTCCCGATCTTTTACTTTTCTCGCGTGACTCTTTTTTTTTTTTTTGTTTTATTATTACGACTAAACTGTATAATATTATTGTAATGATAACCGTCGTGTCGTATAATATTATATCATATTATTGTTATTTAATTTTTTAATAATAATAAACTCTAATATAATAAAACGGGGTGTACCCATACCTATATAACGCGTGTAAGATAGCTATACAGCGTAATACACCGTCGGAAAACAATTATAAACATTTATAGTGGTATCGGATCGACGCGGCGGCGGACGTCTCGGCCTCGGGGCCGTCCGCAGTACGCGCACACACGTTTTTTTTTCCCTTTTTTTTTTTTTTTTAATAGCCGAACGCGTTCTTTTATCGAGGTACGGTCGTAGCGGTGGGTGCGTATTATACGTAGGTATAATACACGGACAATATACGCATAATAATAATTTTATCCCTCGCGCGTCTCGTGTTAATATTTTCGTTTAGGTATACAGACACGGGTCTCGAGACCACGATGACCAATATAATATTATATTACACGGTTGCTCGGTTTTACGGTAACTATAAATTGTACGAGTACAACAACAATAAAACAATAATTTCATCGGATACCCGTATGTACCGTGTATATATGTAAAATTCTTACGATTTCCGTTAAAATTTAAATTTAAAATGCTTGTAGACAATAACTAAAACATTGTGCTCAACTTTTGAAATTTTCAAACGGCATGATAAGTACTTGCACCGTGTATGTATACAAATCTATACCCTGGTTTCATTTACGGATCAGAAGGGGTGTGAAAAGTTAAAAAAAACACCGTCAACTTGATCAGTATTCCTGTTCCAGGCAGCAATTTTTTTTTTGTTATATAACTGTTGCCGTTCAGTAGTTAATTTTGAAAATATCGAATACTATTTTTAATAACTCGAGGTTTGAACCCAGATTTTGTATATACTAAACGTATTCCTTCGTTTTCGAAACTGTTTGAAATAAACGTAATTATCAAATCACGTCAAATCGCAAATATTAGATTCTGATCGGGATATCAGGTATAGCAAGACGCGTCATTCGGTTATAACACTATATAGACAAAACATATAATTAAATCGACGAAAATAAATCCGAAAACCCAAACTCCTTAGAAATAAATCGAAAACTTTTATGTCTACACCAAAATAAGTGCGTTATTTGTGTGTTCGGGTCGAAAGTAAATTATGCTGCAGAATTGTTGATTTTCGTAAATCCCTACACTAATACGATTAGTACGCATTAAAAACATCGCCTCTCCAACGCTTTTTCAAAACAACGTTACGCTGTGGTCAGTTCCAAATATATGCATTTGGATCTTTTTTTTTATTATTATTATTTTTGGTATTAAAAGATTTGTTTGATAATAAAACAAATAGAGCAATTATCATGGTTACCATCAACAATTATTTAATCGCCACGAATCTCCGCGTTTCAATGTCGTAATTTGATTCGATTAAATCCTTAACTTGCTTCATGTACTCCATATACTTAGTCTGCCTCCTTCCGAAGTTTTCTTTGTTCTATTATATGACATTTTTTGTCAAACAAAAGTGACACAATTGATGCCTACTATTGTGTACTTTTTTACTTTAATACATGGTGATATCAACATAACGTAGGACACTAAATAACTAGGAATTTGTATGGGATTTTATTTTAAAACAAGAAACAAATAGCTCTAAA